ACTCACTCACTCACCACACCTTCTGTTTACAGACACGATAACTCAAAGATTAAAATAAAGTATGATATTTATCTGCATCTTTCACACTGATCTCAACTGAAGCCCTGATTAAAAACTGAAGAGATGAACTCAGAAGATCGACACATCATGATGCTGATGCTGCTGCTGCTTCAAAGACACAGATGTTCATGAAACTGTGACTGGAAACAAAGACGGCTGTAAAATGATCAAATCTGTCGTGGAGAGAATCTATTCCCTCCTTTTTTTTTTACTTTTAACTTCAGGACTTCAGTGCTGATAGATGAAGAACTGGTGCTGGTGACGGCATCATTCTGACAGAACAATCTGAGTCCAGATGCAAACGATCTGTGTCAAAGATTCCAGATCAGGGCGGAGGACAAAAAAACCATCCCAGTCGGTTCACGTACGGCAGAGACAGCGATAGAAAAAAAACAAAAAAAAACTTGTCCGGACTCAGAGCCTCATATGTCAGGTGTGACGTCTTCGCCCGTCTTCTTCCTCCTCTTCCTCCTCCTCAGGCGTCCGAGTCTTCGCTGCTGTCGCGGCTGATCTCGATCTGCAGCGAGGGCAGATTGTCCAGTCGACTCTTCTTCATCTGGTGCGACACTTTTTCCTGCTTCTGTTTGATCATGGCGCCCCACATCTTCTGTAGGGTCGTGTCATCCTCTCCATCGTTCTCCACCACTCCCTCCTGCACCTCCCCTCGGTCTGCTCTCTTCCTGGTGTTTTCACCTCCTCCTCCTCCTGAAGCGGAGAAGAAACCAGACGTGCCACTGTTTGCTGTGCGGCCGTGACGTCCTGTTCTGCTGCTGTCCTCGTCCGTAGATCCCAGTCTGCTCCACAGGTCGCCTGAGGAGACCACCAGAGGTCAGCATTTATACAAGCTAGTACAAATCTGTTAACATAGGCAAGAAAAACATCTACAAACGTTTAAGCCTTGAAAAAAAAACATGTCAAAACATGTCAGGTGTGATGTGGTAAAAAGACCGGATGGACGTCTTTTTTACGTACTTGTCTTCCTGTCTTTGGAGGAACTGGAGAAAATTCTTCGGCTGTCCTGACTGGACACGCCCAGTCTGCGGTGAATGTCTCTGACTGGCTCTCTGACTGGGGCTGCGTCTTTGGGAGGAGAGGGTGAGGGCGAGGGTGAGGGCGAGCGAGTTCTGTCGGGGGAGTGACGTCTCTTTCCGAGTCGCTGCCGAACGTCTACCGACAAGAAACGAAGGGAAATTTAAAGATGAGGAAAAACGAGGAAAACTGGAAAGAATGTGGACGCACAGGCAGGACCGCACACCTGCTTTACCACTGTTGGCCAACGGGGAGCGCTGTCTCTGTCCGTGCCTCTTCTCCTCCAGCAGCAGACGGACGTCTTTTACTTTGGTGGGTGACGGCGGTTTGGTTCTGCCCTGTGACCCAGAAGAACCGAGACGGTTCCTGTTCACAGAAGAAAATAAAAAAATAAAAACCAGATCATCACCATCTTCATCATCAAATAAAAACCATCACCATCTTCATCATCTTCATCATCAGACTGTTATTCAGACTAGTTAACGCCATCTGACCTGATGCTCTTCAGCTGTGTGTCCAGCTCGTCAGCGTACATCGTCATCTTCTTGCTCTTCTTGGGCGATGGCGTAGAGATCATCTTCAGCTCCAGGTCGTAGTCCATCTCATCCGACTCCGACCACGGAGACGGAGAGCGCTCCGCTCGACTACGGAGTCCGGCACCTACTGCCCGCAGGGCGCCACCCCTCTCTGCTCGCTCCTTGTACTCCACCACCCTGTCGTCAGAGTCCATGTCCTCGTCTCTGTCCTCCTCGTCCTCCTCTTCCTCCTCTTTGATTGGCTCCTCGGGGAGGTTGACCAGGTCGGCTAAAGATCAAGAGGAGCAGACGTTCATCGGTAATCTGACCAAACTCATGCACTGACAAACAGGAACAGCTGCTTCCTAATCCAGAGTCTGCGGCCCAGACGGACGTCACTGTCCGTCCATCAGTCCGACATCTGTAACATGCTGCTGAAATGTCAGACTGAATTCTGGGAAATGTCAGGAGCCACCGTTAACAGTGGTCACTGCAAGGACACCACAGAGTTCAGGATGAGGAAACACGCTGCCCCCTGGCTCCAAACACAGGTACAGCAGGTTCACCTGAGTGTCGGTGTGTGTACGGTGGCGTGTGGCCCATATTGTCACCAATCAGAGGCTTCTTACTCTTGATGACGTCTCTCTGGATCCGCCGGTTGTGATAACGACGCTTCCTGAAACAAACCAGATAAAACAAGAGGACAAATGAGGACCAAGGGGTCTGGGAGGACCGGGGGGTCTGGGAGGACCGGGGGGTCTGGGAGGACAGTCCAGGTCTGCTCACCAGGAGTTACTGAGAATCCCCTTCATGCCGCCGTAGTTTGGGTTTCCATACTTCATGTAGTATCTGCTGCGACGAGCAGCACCAAGTTCCTTCTTATCATCTGCAGACAAACACAGGAAGAGGAGGAGGAGGAGGAGGAGGAGGAGGAGAACTGAATGTCTGATCAAACAACCCCGACGTCAGGGTTATTTTTATTATTAAGTGTGTGTGTGTGTGTGTGTGTGTGTACAGACCATGTGTGGCGAATCTCAGCATGAGTTTGTTTCCTTTGAACGGTTTGATGACCGGCCGCAGGTCATTCCTCAGCAGGGACTCTCTCTCTGCAGCAGACAGGTCGTCCAGCTGTGAGGACACACACACACACACACACACACAGTTACTGATTGAATGTTCCTCTGACATCGGTTCTTGTGACTGATCAAATCGGCCCGTACCCGACCCCTGTCCTCTTTGGTCTTTGGCTCCGCCCCTCCGTCTCCTTCCTCTCTCTCGTCACTGCTCTTCTTGACGGACTCTTCCTCATCTTCATCCACCGCTCCCTCCTCCTCTTCGTCGTCTTCATCGTCAGAGCTCTGACGTCTCGGTCCTGTGAGAAGAACAGTCCCGTCAGTTGTTTCCTGTCTGAACCGGTCGTCTCGTTTGCTGTCGTCGATGTTGACCCCGTGACCTTCGAGCTGCTTCTCCGCCTCCTTCTCAGGAGTAGCGCTCTTCGTGTCAGGCATCCAGCTGGTGTTGACGAGCGCCCGGATACACGTGTCATCATCCAACCACACCACGTTACCTAGAGACCAGGACGGCGGTCAGACACAGGAGGACAGAGAACAGCTGTTCTGGTGCAGCGTGTACTCACAGGACGTGTCGTCGATCCACTCGATGTGAGCAGGAGGATAACTCTTAAAATAGCCAAACACGTCCTGTGTGCTCATGTCATCGACGCCTGTCACGTGAATGGCCTCCAGACGCAGTCTAGGAATGGCTGTAAAGAAAGTGGGGGGGGGTTTCAGAGTCTGAGACTAGGATCACACTGGGACTACAGCTACAGTATGGCTGTATATCGTAGATCTCGACCAATACCCACCCATAAGCACGAGGCTAACTTGCTAACTCTAGTGTATTTTTAAAAGCATCAGAAACCCCCCCCCTCCCCACTGGTGACCAAAAAAGACCCCGCCCCCTCTGACCTTTCTTCAACATGTCTTTGTCCAGGAAGAAGTTCCTCTGAGAGACGTTCTCCTCCGCGCTGAAATGGAACCGTCTTGCCCGCTTCTCTTTTTTCTCAATCGCCTCCTGACCACGAGAAACACATTTGAATTCAAAGCTTTGACTCAAGTTAACGATAAAATATAAGAAGAAAAAACTGAGGCGACGACGTTTTCACCGACAGAGCGTCTCACCTTGGAGTTGACGTCTATGCCGGTGATGAAGGCTCCAGCTTTGTTCTCGTACCTGCGACTGGTGTCCTGTCAGACAAACACACAGTTCAGTTCAGCTAAAGAAACGGTCGCCATGACAACGTCTAAAAGAACAAGATCACCTAAATACATGTATATTTGTTTTGTTGTACAACAAAAATGAACGCCAGTCGTTACATTTAATAAAACAAATAAATAAACTGGAATTAAACAAGGTCATAAAAAAATGCAAAGAAAATGTTCTGATTAACTTTAAATTTGTCTGAATTCATAAAACTGACTACAGGAAGAAGAGCTGAGCAGAGAAAGTTCTGACCCAGAATGTGAATCGTTGGTCTGAACCGGGACTGGACCGACACAGACTACAAACACCCCCCCACAGATGGAGCAGTACATTCATGAGTTTATAGCGCCGACTACAGGGACACATACGACGTCACTGTGAGTGTAAACAGATCGAGTGGAGTCCGGTTCTGTTCAACACAGACAGGGTTCAAAGGTCACCAAACAACCGCATAAACCGTGGGTCGGTGGTTGTTATGGCGGTGAAACGGTCCACGATTCTTCGGTTGTGAATGAGCTAAAATAACCGGGATCATCTTTACGGTGTGGAGTTGAGTGATGACTAGATCAGCAACAGGTGATAAAAACAAACGCACCCAGACCACAGTAAAACCAGGAGTTCGTATAAAGACCAGGCCGTAAATTCGCTGGATTTTACACCAGAAAACCGACGAACTAAGACCCGAAGTCCTACAAACACCGCCCTGGGTCTGAGCGGGCGCCCTGGCCGGCTGTGGACCACTCCAGTCCCCGGTGTCGCAGGGCCTACCGCGTACTCTTACCGGCAGTAACTCCTTCAGGGAGCGGTTGACGGGGACGTCGTCGGCCTCCAGCTCCCCCTCCTCCACCTCCATGGGCTCCGCCTCACGGGCGTCTCGGTCCGACTCGGAGTCGGAGGCCGAGTTTGAGCGCTCGGAGCCGCTGTCTGACTTCACTGACACTCGTAAGCTGTGGACGGCCGCCATGACGTTGCGAACAACGGCCACTGGTGCCGCTGCTACCACCTTGACCCGGAAATAATTTACCGACTTCCTGCTTGTTCTTCAGTTGTTTATTGTGGGTACTGGAGTGGTTAGCGCCACCCATTGACAAAGGGGTGTTGTTGTTCTCGTAAACTCGCTCTGACGTCACAGAGGTGGTGATAGAATGGACTAGAATTGAACTGTATTGTCATGTAGAGGACGTTGTCTTTATTGTCGCAGGTACAGAGCAACGAAATGATAGTTCATAAAGACACGTCAGGATCAAAGGATCACATCAAACAACAAGTCTCCTTTTGTCCACCCTTTGTTTACCTCCTTGTTCCCTTTCCTTTCTCCCTTCCCTCCCCCTCTCCTCACCCCATTCCTCTCCTCATCAATATGAACAATTATAAATATTTATACCATGAAAAATGAACGTTTTTGTACTTTCATTTATTCCATTCCAATAATTATGATACAACGATGACATAAATACATGAATCCAGACCAAATAAATAAGGAGAGTATAGATGTTATAGATGTTTGAAAATAGAAAATTAAAATGCTTTAATCTGTGGATTAGTCCAGACTAGGATTACAGCAGGTTTGACTGCACTGGTACGGTGACACAGGTCAAAGTGCATGAGTGTGTGTGTGTGTGTGTGTGTGGTGAAGGTATCACAGTGTAGAAGAATCACAATTTAACTGAAGGAAAGGTAGAAAAGTTTTCAGTACAGCAGGTCAAAGGTCAAATCAAAGGTCAAATCAAGGGTCAATAAAAATAGACATTTCATTAAAAAGTTCATTGTAATACAACAGATTTACAAAACGACAGGAAGTGAATGTGTCGAGTTTAGGTGAACACAAGAACCAGTACCTGGAACTGTTTTCATATCAAACAACAACAGACTGAGACCAGTTACAGGAATGGTACCAGGTGAGTTTCTGACACAGAAAATAGTGCTAGGAACTCTGTGAGTTTCCACAGTAAAAACAGTACCAGGAACGACATACGGAGTTAATCCAAAACAAAAATCAGCTTTAAAATCCTTCAGTTTCACGTCCTCCTGTTGCAGGAGGACGTGAAACTGAAGGATTTTAAAGCTGATTTTTGTTTTGGATGAACTCCATATGTCGTTCCTGGTACTGTTTTTACTGTGGAACTTTTCTGTGTCAGAAACTCACCTGGTACCATTCCTGTAACTGGTCTCAGTCTGTTGGTGTTTCTACTTTAATCCAAAACAAAAATCAGCTTTAAAATCCTTCAGTTTCACGTCCTCCTGCGACAGGATGACGTGAAACTCAGGCCTAAAGTTGTTGCTGCGGCTGCTGCTGTTACTGCTGCTGCTACTGTTACTGCTGCTGCTGCTGTTACTGCTGCTGCTGTCACTGCTGTCACTGCTGCTGCTGTCACGGCTGCTGCTGTTACTGCTGCTGCTGCTGCTGCTGTTGCTGCTGCTGTTGCTGCTGCTGTTGCTGCTGCTGTTGCTGCTGCTGTTGTTGCTGCTGCTGCTGTTACTGCTGTTACTGCTGCTGCTGTTACTGCTGCTGCTGTTTTAGGTAGCAGCAGAAAGGGCGAGAGAGAGAGAGAGAGAGAGAGAACCTGAATAATAAAATAATAATCCATGATAAACATTTTTTGTTTTTGTGCTGAACATGAACCGCCCCTGCTGTTGGTCAGAGAACGGTGTCACATGTTCAGCAGAGACTCACCAGTGTAGACTGACTCAGTCTGTCGAAGCGAAACCTGAGGTTGGATCTTGGAGAGTTTTTATTTCTGCTCTCTGAAAGAAGAGACACGAGCCGAGAGAGTCAGACAGCTGTGTGTGTGTGTGTGTGTGTGTGTGTGTGTGTGTGTGTGTCACACCTGAAGGACTACGGCAGATGATGACTGGACTCGAACCTTCAGCAGCCTGAGGACAGAAAGTAGAAAAAATCCTGTCACGACGCCAACTAGTGTCTGATGAAGGACACTGAAGAAAACTTTCACAAAAAGGCTGGTCCACTGCTGCCCCCTGTGGTCAGACTGTGTCACTGAGGTCAGTGTGGCTCTTTAGCGCCACCATCGCTTTGGCTGCGTCTGTGGTGTTCTCACCGGAGCAGAGCCGTCCACAGACAGACTGAAGCTGCAGGAACTGGACGAGGACCGGGACATGGAACTGTTCTTCTTCAGGTGAGTCCTGAAGGTGACAAGGACAACATTAACCTGGAGAACCTGGAGAACCTGGAGAACCTGGAGAACCTGGAGAACCCACCCACAGTCTGTCACAGACCAAACTCACCTGTCTCGAGATCCCGCCTCCGGAGAGCTGGGATTGGACGTCAGCTCGAACCTGGTTTCCAGCGAGGTGGGACAGCCGTCCACAATCTTCTGTTCACTGAAGAGACCGACGTCACAGGGAGAAAATCGTCAGTGAGACGTGAGAGAAAAGAGAAGAAGTAGAAGAAGAACGGACCCACCTCCTCTGGACCAGTCTCTCTGTCTGACTGTCCACACTGAGCAGACGAGGAAACAGACCGGAGCGACGCTTGACTGGAGACTTACTGTTGTACTGACACACACACACACACACACACACAGTCGTGATTGACATCATAAATGTAGACATCTTTGACATCTTTGACCTCCACTCTCAATACCACTGATGTGGGTCAGACCTCCTCCACTCAGACTTGTAGGTAAACAAGCCCCGCCCCGTGACATGGTTTCCATGGAAACACTCCGTCCTCTCATCGCTCGCTGAGAAAAGTACAAAAATTGTGGTTTTTATAGAAGGCAAATGAATTTTTTATTGGTTTATTGATTGATTTGCCTCCGTACATCAGATCAGTGAACCACTGCAGTCACTAGGGGGCAGCATCTTACCCAATGGTTTGTACATAGATAAAAATATACGTTATCAGGTTCTCAATACTATTTCACTTTGCGGGGGTGTGGGGGCATTTCTGTCCACAAGGGGGAGCATGACCACTTCCTCGTCTGTCTTTAGAGACGCACCTTAATGGAGTCCAGCAGTCCTCCGTGGGCGTGTCCGTTCTCAGCACGTCCCTCCTCCTCCACCCCTGATGTCATACCCAGCATGCCCTGGCTGTGTCTCTGCAGTTCGTCGTTCAGACTGTCCAGCAGGGCGGCGCGGGTGCGCTCCTTAACGAGCAAAGAGTGACTGGTTTACAAAGGGACCAGCAGCACGGTGCCGAGGTCTGGACGGTTCCCGGTGTTTTTACCTCCAGTCGGGCAAAACGTTCACTCTTGTAGCAGGAAATCTCGGCGTTGATGAGCTTGGTGAGAAGGAAGTCCCGGAACTCTGGACCCTGGAAAAGATTGGATCCTGAAGTGATCCAAACCGTCACAGAGCTCAGAAACTAAACCCCGGTCTCTCTCACCTTCTTGAAGATGGGGGGATGTGGGAGGGGGGGCCCAAACTGAGGGACGTCCTCTCTGGCAGTGACCGCCACCTGTCAATCAAAGACACCAGAGGTTCGGTTTCTCCTGGAGCCTGCTGTGTTTCAGCAGTCGCTCCACTACCTTGTAGCTGGTGACGTCACTGACGGCGTTCTCCACCTGCACCACCACGAAGGCGTGGAGGAAGTTGGAGGCGATCATGTCAGGGACGAAGGGCGTGGCCTCCTCCTGGAACACCACCGTCACGATGTCGTTTCCTATGTGACGTTTCCTCTGGAGCTGGAGGAGAACATGAGCGACTCCTCAGACCACACAGTACCGACCCCCCCCCCCCCCCCTGGTGGTACTGTTTGGTTCTGTACCTGCTGCGTGTCTCCCTCTGTGAAGGGCAGCTTGGTGGACACGTGGAACATGACCTCCTGGTCTCTGTGGACGGTGTAGACAGACTGAGACCCCGTCTGACCGTGGGAAACATCCAGACCTCCACGGAACCTGCACAGGAAACGGGTGCTGTTTTAATGGTCAGGCCAGCAGTTCCCTCTTATTACCACAGGTGGAGACAGTGAGTCTGACAGAGTGAGGGTTAACTCCGTTATTACACACTGCAACAAACACAATCAGAAAAGTTCATTAATTTGACTATTTAGAAATAAATATTATTTATATGTTAATGGCAGCTAGTGTTTTTGGGTAGCCCCTGTAGGACAACAGTGGTACTGCAGCCAATGGAACGTTTCTCGGTAGCTCAAAAAAGACATTTTTTCTCACTTTTCACTTTTCTCAACATCCTCTTACCTCACCCTCTGGCCTCAACCTCTGGCCTCACCCTCTGCCCTCACCCCCTGGCCTCACCCTCTGACCTCACCCCCTGACCTCCCCCTCTGGCCTCACCCTCTGACCTCACCCCCTGGCCTCCCCCCCTGGCCTCACCCCCTGACCTCACCCTCTGGCCTCCCCCCCTGGCCTCACCCCCTGACCTCACCCCCTGGCCTCACCCCCTGACCTCACCCTCTGACCCCACCCCCTGGCCTCCCCCCCTGGCCTCACCCTCTGACCTCACCCTCCGGCCCCACCCCCCGCCCCCCCCCCCCCCCCCCACCCCCCGCCCCCCCCCCCCCCCCCCACCCCCCGCCCCCCCCCCCCCCCCCCACCCCCCGCCCCCCCCCCCCCCCCCCACCCCCCGCCCCCCCCCCCCGCCCCCCCCCCGCTCCCTCCCCCTCTGGCCTCACCCTCTAGCCTCACCCTCTGGCCTCACCCCCTGGCCTCACCCTCTGACCTCACCCTCTGAAGTCCTGCAGCTCCACCGTGTCTCCCAGCTGCTGCAGAAACTCTGTGAACGCCGGTGTTTCCTGGTGGTTCTTGAACAGTTCCTCCTCAGACACCTGAGCACAGGTGATCAGTGGTCATTGTGTCGTCACATGATCCTGAGGGGTGTGTGTGTGTGTGTGTGTGTGTGTGTGACACGCACCTGTCCAAACCTCTGGTAGATGACGCCAAACTTGAAGGTGTTGTTGACCTCGTGCTCGTCGTAGCTGACAATGAGCTGAGACGCCTGGAAACAGAGACACACGGATCACGTCTGTCCGTCATGATGACACGGACGATGATGTCATCGTGGCCAGTGTTCTCACCTTCAGGTAAAGGACAGGACTGAAACACAGACCTGCGGCTTCATCACACAACAGCTTCAGGAGGAACAACAGACGTTAGAGACATGTTCACACACACACACACACACACACACTCCCTGTGTGTGTGTGTGTGTGTGTGTGTGTGTGTGTGTACCTTGGCGAGTTCTGGGACACTGGGAATCTCTGGCAGCTCCCCCAGTGGCAGTCTGTGGTAAACACTTTTGAGCCTCGACCTGAAACAGAGTGGTGTGTTTTCATGATAACCACCAGGTGGCGTTGCCTTGGCCTGAATTCAGGTCCATACCTGACGATGACATGTAGAAGCTCCTCCCCCTCCAGCTGCTCGGCCTCATGTCTGACTGACAGCAGCAGATTTCCCAGACTGCCGTGGGAGCAGTAGAAGTTGAAATGTTCCTGAGGACAGACGTCAGAGTCAGACTCCGCCTCCGGCCGAGGACACGCCCACAAGCTTCAACTTTTCAACTTTTTCAATCTCACTCCACAGAAGAAGTGTCGTCTATATGCCCGCGCCGCGTCGTTCTTCTCCTCCAGAGGGTACCCATAATCCCCTGCAGGTGTCTCCTCTTCCTCCACAGCTCCTTTAGAGCCCGTCTTCTCCTCCTCATCCTCCCGCTCTTTCTCCTTCCTGTTCTCCAGTGAAGTGGGCGGAGCCTCATGAGCTTCGATCCAGTAACCTCCAAAGACGGGTAAGATCACCTGGGGGTACGGCGCCCCCCGCTCCAACACCTGCAGCACACGTTAACAGATGACGATGAGCCGAGCCTGATGCTAACGTTTGTAAGCTAACGTTAGCTGACTAGCATAACGACCAGGTCATTGTCTGACTTCAACAACATTTACCTCCACAGACAGAAACACAGACAACAGTCTGTCTTTGTCAGCTCAACTTGGGAGCTGACACCTGATTGGCCTGTCTGTGTTTGTGGGCGGGGCTTATCATTGATCGTCTGTGTGTAAAAAGGATGTGATGATGTTTATTCTTACCTCCTCTATTCTAGGATGGGGAATGTAGTCGTCCTGAGAGAGAGAGACACAGAGGACACGAGAGTCACATGACCAATCAGCTGACAGGTCAGGACAGATGATCATGTGACGTTAGGAGAAAAGAAGCCGCACATAAATCAATGAAGATGTTGACAACAATGAATAAACCAATGGGACGACAGTGTGATGTTTGGACTTGGTCACGTGGTCAGACATGAGGTCACGTGGTCAGACATGAGGTCACGTGGTCAGACATGGTGACCGTGAGCTGTTTGGTTGAAGGACACTCAGAGACCACAGAAATGTGGACGTGCCTTCTGTCTCTGAGGGACGGTCCTCATCTCTGACGTCTCCAGGACCTGCTGCGTCCATTTTGGGGAGACAGAATTAGGAGACAGGGTTAGACCGGGTCTGGGTCTGAACTGGGCCTAGTTTAGGTCTGAACCCTGATGAACACTGGTCACTGAGGAGTCCAGGGTGTCTTTGGTGGATCCTGGAGGTCCAGGGTCTTTCTGACTGTCCCTGGTTTTGGGGTGAGGTCCAACAGATCTACCTACAGTTTAGGACTAGCCCAGAACACACGAGGTGAACGTCTTACCTCCATCCTGTCCATTTGGTCAAAGAAGTGTGCAGCCTGGAGACACAGGGACAGAGGGACAGGGACAGAGGGACAGGGACACAGGGACACAGGGACAGAGGGACACAGGGACAGGGACAGAGGGACACAGGGACACAGGGACAGCTGGTGAAGATTCTGGTGCCGTCCAAGAACCTGCTCAGACAGTTCAACTCTTTCTGAAGATTTATTTGCTACCTTCATGGTGGGTGGGGCTGTGCGGGGCGGGGAGGGGGGGCGGTCTGCCACAGAAACATTGGAGACGTTGAGCTGCTCCTGTTTACTGAGACAAAAAAAGACGAGTTAATTCTGAACCCATCAGTCAGAGGCGGAGGAAACACAAAGGTCACCGAGAGACGAGACGTCGAGAATAAAGATGAAGCAGAGGAAAGGTCACTCTGACTGTGTGTATGTGGGGGGGGGGGGGGGGGGCCGCACAGGAGAAAAATTTATTTACGAAAACAGATTTTTTGGACTCGTCA